AGAGAAGTGTCAGAACATCCTCATCATTAATTTACATTCACTTAATTAAAATGTACATCCTTTGGGAGGACAGTTGTGGGGTAGACTGTAAAATCAGTAAAGATAAGAGCTTGAGGATGTGTCTTTAGCACTCCTGTCACAGAAGTGTATTGAGTATCAACTAAGTCCTTGGTGAGGGTTCACCCAGGGCTGGAGGTCCCCCTTGTGGGTTCATGTTGTAGCTGGAAGGATGCACTAAATCCCATTCCCGATGTTCCTGAAGAATAGCACTGGTGAGAGCTGAGGAGCTCTGGGTTCTTGTTTCCCACATCTGCAGACCTCACCTGGTGGGGAGTGGGGAGGATGGGGTCCTTTGGAAGCTCTGCTCAGGCCAAGCTCTTGGTGTTGGAGGCTGGTTGAAATAATCAGAAGCCACCCTGTTTTGTCTGTCCTTTCAGGAAGTCCCTCTGAGGAGCAGTCCCAGCCCCGCCAACAGCACCGCTGGTACCATCGACAGCGACGGCTGGGATGCCAGTTTTGCCGACATCTCGTCCACCGTGCCCTTGCCAGTCTCTGATCGCTGCTTTGGCCACCTGCAGCCCACCCTCCTGCAGCGAGCTAAGCCTAGTAACTTCCTGCTAGACAGAAAGAAGACTGACAAGCTGAAGAAGAAGAAGAAGAGGAAGCGAAGGGACAGTGACGTGCCTGGGAAGGAGGGCTACATGGGGGGCTTGCTGCAGCTGGAAGCCGCCGACCCATACGCAGAGACCCCCACGAGCCCCACTCTGCAGGATATCCCCCAGGCTGCTGGAGACCCCTGCTCGGGCTGGGACTCCGATACTCCTTCCAGTGGGTCTTGCACCACAGTGTCACCGGATCAGGTCAAAGAAATAAAAACTGAAGGCAAACGGACTATCGTCCGGCAGGGCAAGCAGGTGGTGTTCCGGGACGAAGACAGCACGGGCAACGATGAAGACATCATGGTGGATTCCGGTGAGTGGCCCAGAGGTGGGACGCTAAGAGCAGGGTTTCAGGGCCCTAACCTTCCCCTTCCATTGCAGGGGTTGTGGGTTCGATCCCTGGTCGAGGAGCTGAGATCCCATGCGCCTGCTGTGAGGTGCGGGGTTTCAGTGCAGTGGTCCCTTCCTTGGAAGGGGACAGGGGAGCATGCCCCACCACCTTCAGGGGAAAGGGTATGAGAAGGCCGATGCTGAGACATTTAGGAAGGGGTGATCACATCTGAAGACGGCGGACATTCCAGAGCAGGCCTCAAAATGTGAAAATAACATAGCTCATGCGTAACCACCTTGTGGGGAGTTCCTCGTACCACACATTTCAGTGCTTTTGGGGCACGTATGCATTTTCAGAGCGGGAAGTATCACCCTGAAACTTGAAATTGGTTTCACCGCAGCTCAGCTGCCCTCTCCCTTTGGAGAGTGGCTTTCCTGATGGGCGGGGGTCTGATTGGTGGTGGTGTGAGAGATTTTTCCACTCTTAACGTGATTCTCTGCTTTCAGATGATGACTCCTGGGACCTGGTCACGTGCTTCTGCATGAAACCGTTTGCTGGCCGCCCAATGATAGAGTGCAACGAGTGCCACACTTGGATTCACCTGTCCTGTGCAAAGATCCGGAAGTCCAACGTTCCGGAAGTGTTTGTCTGCCAAAAGTGCCGGGACTCCAAGTTTGACATCCGCCGTTCCAACCGGTCCCGAATGGGCTCCCGGAAGCTGTTTCTGGACTGACTGCTGGAGGGCGAGGAGTCGGAAGGGACTGTGGGCCTGCTGGCCCTGGTCTTAGTTGAGCACAGGACTCTTAGCTCCAGCGCGGGCAGACCCCTGCCGTTCAGGTGCCTACACGAAAGGACCAGCTGTCCAAGGTATAAACTGTACATAGCCAGTGACTGAATAAAATCCTCGTTGGCCAGAGCTGCTGCTGGAGCCGTGGTCTCTGCAGTGGAGGTGGACTGCACACCCAAGTGCAGTGGGTTTGGTCCAGCCGAACATGAGGGTGCTTGGTCGTTGTGCATTTTTGCTCTCATTGTTGACAAACTCCCGCCGATCGGAACAAGTGCTGGCTGTTACTCCTGCTTCCGCTGTGTTGGCGCGAGGAGATGTTTCCCTGGCCTGTTTATGAACCGCCATATGTGTAAAGTTCTTCTCCAGTCCGTCTTTTACCATAAGTGTCTGTACAGCAACCATCGAAGCCGCTCCTCCCTTAGTGGTCCCCTCTCCCCTGCCTTGGGGGAGGCCTGTTCCCCTGGGGCTGGAGTCCCTGGCCTCACCCAGGGGTAGTGAGCTTGCTGGTGAGCCCCAGGTTTCCTTCTGTTCTTTAAAGGGGACACTATGCAGCTGCTTCTCTGTGGAAAGGGTTGGTTTGGGGGTGGGGTCATGGTGGCCCGTGTTCATAACTCAGTTTCCTGTTTTGCACGATGTAAAAAAACCTGTCTTTTTGCACGAAATAGCCAAAAGTATTGGCAGACTTTTGCCAGGGTTCCCTTCCTCTCCAGTTGGCTTTGGAGGGCCTGGGGGTGCCCAGCAAGCTGTTTTCAAGTGAGGGGGCGCCTGGATCCTCTCCTTGTCTCTCCCCGCTCACTAGGTTCTAGCAGCGACGTTAAAGGTTAGGCAGTCTCTGGGGGAGGGTGTTCTCCACATAGTGGTGGGGGGAGGGAAATGGGGAGGAAGGCCTCCCTCATGGGTATTCTTAGTATGCCCCTCGTACAGGCTGGCCTGCTGGTTCCAGGGGGCAAGGTTAGGACTTTTGAAGCATTTTTTTGGTTTGAGTTGCTGAGTGAGTGATATGGTAATATTGGCCTCCAGGAACATACCACTGAACTTTGCAAAGTTCCTTAGATCTAAAGCAGGGCCCTGGACCGAGGAGACCCCTGTGCAGGCCGGCTCTGGAGAGGCCAGGGAGTTTGAAGCCCCAGCAGGCCTCCGCTGGAGGGCCATGTGGTGGGGACACTGATGGGTCTCAGGCTTGAGGGAGAGGGAGGACTTCTGTGTTCTCTGAAACTGACATTACTCTAGCAGTTTAAATACTCGTTTTTTTGTATATTAATGAGTGTGTCTTCATAAACATTATTTCTTATGAAGCATGAAGAGGGAAGGGTGCCCAAGTCAGGCATATTTATTGACATCAAGATGGAGCCTCAGTCTTCCCACAGGGGGACTTCTCTACGTGGTCCCCATGTATGAGGCCACCAGACGGACTTGTGTCCACGTTCTCTCACTGAAGCACGGGTGGGGGGAGGGGGGTTGAACTGTAATCGGCTGATCAGAGCCTATATTTTGTCCTAGTATCTTTCATGCTTGACCAGCCAACTGCCTTTTTTGTTTTATTTTTAATTCTGTTGTTTCTATTAACACAAAAATAGAGAGAAATAGTTTTTGAAATCCATTTTATTGTGAAGAGCCCCAAGGGAGGTGTTCTACTGTAGAGAAAACTAGTAAGGAGCCTGGCTTAGAAACAACCTTCTCCCCAGACAACCGTCTGGCTCTGACTAGGGCAAAAGTCCAGGAAAAGTTGGGAGAGGAATTTGCCAAAGATCTGCACCATGACATTGCCTGTCCTGTGTCTTCACCATGACAGTAGCCAAAGTTTCCAAATGTTTCTCTCTTAAAAAAAAACTCCACAGTTTTACAAGTGTGTTTAAGAATAGGTGTGATTTTAGGGTGGAGCTGCCAGTCCTGGCAATTACCATATTGCTCTTAGAAGACTTAGTTCCTGGTGACGCCTCTGGAAGGCATTTGATACTCATCTCGATTTCTGTTTCCTTCATTTGCTTTTGTTCTTTTAACAGAGTTATCCCTGTGGGTGGTGTCAAAGAAGTCAGGACACCACAGTTTTTCTGTTAGATTGAGCTGGGCAGCTGCAATCAGCTTTATGCAAATTAGGTATGGCCCATCTCCGGGTTCCTGGTTGGTGGCTGATGGAGAAGGGAGGGAAAGTTGTCATCCCCAAAGCAAGTCCCTCCCGTCGGCTTTGGCCAGGCCAGACACTTAACATCGTTTACATGGTTCTGTGTAATTATAAAGTTTATGTGTATAAAGCGAAGCTGTTTCTGTGAAACTGTATATTTTGTAAATAAATATATTGCTACTTTGAGGTTCATGTTTAGCTTTAGGTGTTTGTGTTCTGTGCTGAAGGACTGACCCTTCATTACCAACCCCCAAAACCATGGTTACATGAAGACTTGGGAAGTTAGAGTCTGAGTTTGGTTTAGCAGGATGAAACATTATCACAGCCCTTAATATGCTTTTCTAGTAAATTCTCCAGAAACAAACCACAGCATGAAGAGGCATGAATAGCTTTCACAATTTCTTCACATTGTGCATTAGCTTAAATCCCAGTGAGTGGTTAACCTGCATTGTAAAAGCTGCAGCTGCCTCTAAGTTTATGCAGGTGGGATTAGAATTTGCCCCGTATTCATTCTGTCCTTCCACTTGGGGGTCCCAAGGGGCTGAGCCTGTTCTGTCAGTCAGCTGTGTCTGCCTAGCCAATCTGGGACCAGCTAATGGTCAACTAGTACTTTCTTCTGTGACGTTGGAGCAGCCGAAATCTATGAATCAATACCTACTTAAATATTGAAAATACTGGCCTAGGTGGCCAGTGAGCCTGCCTTTGGTTTTCAGTTGTCCCAAACTGGGTGGGTGTGTGTGAATTTTGGAAGCTTCAAAGCAAGGAGGTGAGGGTGACGCTTTAGCGTAACTAGCGTAAAACCTGCATCTGCTCCTAGTTGGGGATGTCGGGTCTGAGCCGGGCCTTGAAGCACCCTTTGACGCGGTCGCAGGCACTGCGTGCATAAGATGCTGGCCAAAGAACAGAGCCAGGCCCGCCTTCACTCACCAGCCCCTGCAAGCCCCGCCCCGCCCGGATCCTCCCCCGTCTCCTACTGGCCCCGCCTCTCTCTCTCGAGGGCCTGTCGCCTGCAGACCCCGCCCCTATCGCTCGCCCCGCCTCCACCGGCCCCGCCCCGCCCCGCCCCATGACCCCGCCCCTCCCGGAGTCGCTGCCGCGCCCCGCAGGCCCCGCCGCCGCCATCTTTGTTAGGGGCAGCCGGGCCTGGAGTCTGGAGATGCCGAAGTCGTGCGCGGCCCGGCAGTGCTGCAACCGCTACAGCAATCGCAGGAAGCAGCTCACCTTCCACCGGTGAGGGGCGGGGGCACCGGGGTGCGCGGGGGCCAGCCTCTCCCAGGCCGACGACCACGGCCCCAGCGGAAGCGTCAGGTCTGGCGCGACAGGCGTGGGGACGCCCGGGCCACTGCCCGACCGCCGGGAGGCCAGAGGACGTGCGGCCGAGCCCTTTGCGGAGGGGCGGCGGACCCCCGGAGAGCGGCGAGGTCCCGGCCCAAGAAGCCCGGCACCACCTCGGCCGCCTGGGCGCGCGGGGAGACGGTCGGAGAGGCTGAGTAACCTGCCCGCCGGCGCACAGCCTCTCTTGGGTCGGGGGAGGCGGTGGCGGGCCTGGTGCGCGCTCAGCGCTGCGCCTTTGCGGTGACTTGGCGTGCGTCCCCTCCGCGGTTCAGGGACTGTGCAGCCCGGGACGTAGTTAAGTGTGCAGCATTTGCTGCAAGGTGAGCGATGCTAATCTCCCTTAGGTGTGCGGTGCGCTGCGCCCTCTGCTCACTTCTCCGGGTCTCTAGTCAGGAAGGAAAGGCGTGGTGGAGGAATGAGAACGTTCCAGCGGGTAGGGGCGCGGGGCCGGGACGCGCGACCTTTGCTGGAGCCCGCAGGAGGATGATAGGATTTCTGGAGTCTGTCCCTGCGCGCCCCGCGCACGCCAGGTATGGGACCCGGCCGAGTGCACGGCCGCTTGCGCATCAATGGGTAGAGTGTTGCACACTTTCTTGCTGGTTCCAGCCACACGCCTTCCTCCGTCCTGCTCAGAGTGTGACTCCAAAGGGCTGCGCTCTGTTCATCTACACCTCGTCTCCTCTTTAAGCGTTTTCTTTTTTAACGTGAGTATGTCTATTGATATGTAACACGCGTACGGAAAAGTGCACAATTTATAAGCACACAGTTTCACCAAGTGAACACCCGGTGTGACCGCCAAGAGTTTAGACCATGGAAGCCCCCAGGAGACCCGGAAACGCACCCCCTTTCAGCCTCTCACTCAGTCCCCAAGGTAAGGCCTCTGTCAGAGGGGACTGCCTTGGCCTGTTTGGAGCCTCACTGAATGGAGTCACACGCTGTCCTTTTTCCTGTCCTTCGCTCATCTTTGTGCTTGTGAGTCCTTCATGTGGCCCGAAGCAGCTGCAGCAGCTCATCCTTTTCATTGCTGTGTAGTGATCCAGGAGTGTATTTATTCCAACCAACTTGTTGTACAATTGAAGGGCATTTGGGCCCCTCTGTTTTATGGCCATTACGGGCATGAGGCTTGGGTCATCTTTGCTGGGTCTTATCTTCCAGCGCCTGTACCCCACCACTCCCAAAATTACCTCGGTCAAGTCCCAGTGGCCCTTCTCTGCGGCCTGTGACACAACCGACTGCTGACCCCTTGAGGCCATCTACCACCTGGCTTCTGGGACACCTCTCGGTCTCTTCCTTTATCACAGTGTCCCTTCTCAGTCTTGGGTAGATTCTGCTCGTTTCCAACTCCAGACAGATGTTGGAGCACTTCAGGGTGCCGGCCATGCTGCTGTCCTGTCCCTGTCCACACTGACTTCCCAGGGCAGCCATCTCACCCAGGCTTATGGCTCTGCCACCTTTTACATGGGGATACCCTCATGGTGACATCTCCAGACAACTCTTGTCCCCCTGTCATTCAGCTTCAGCATGTGGACATCTAAAAGGCACCTGAAATTTAACATTAACGTATATTGATAAAACCAAACTGCTGACCCTCCCAAAGCTGCCCGTCCCCTACAATCTTAGCACTTAAAACTCTTTCCTCTGCTTCTTAGCCCACAGGCAGACTTCTTTGCCTGGCTTTCTTGATGCACCCCAGATCTGCCACTCATCACCCTCTCCAGCTCCACCCTGAACCTGCCACCAGTTGTGCTCCTGCCGCAGCCTCACCCTCGGCCTGAGCCTCCAGGAACCCCCTTCCGACAGTGGCCCGCGTCCTTTTCTTGCTCTGTGTCAGCCAGACCTGCCTCGTTGGCTTCTGACACCCTCTGGCCTTCGCACTTGCTCTTCCTTTTCTTCCTGTATCGCTGTTCTCTGTCCCACTTCCTGCAGTCTCTGCTCCAGCATCACCTCCTAGGTTGCCTTCCCCGACCACTTCCTACTCTATTCTTGGACAGTCAGTGTCTGTCTGGTGTACTGGCTGTCTCCCTGCTCTAGAATGTAGGCTCCACAAGGGCGGGGTCACTTCCCCTCCTGCTTCCCCACACAGGAGCTGGAATGGAGGCCTGCCTGGCACATGTGGCTCTGGGAGCAGCTCACTGAGGCCCTGGCTGCATTCATGGTCTCCGGTTTCCTACTAAGGATACTGTCAACAGCCACAATGGAAGCTTCCCGACATGGAAGGATGTGGTTTAAGAGGACAAGGCTACTAAATTTTCCAGGCTGTCCAGTAAAATGCTGGGCAGGGATGCAGAAGGTCCCTGGGACCCTGAAGGTGTGTGTTTAGCCCGGCAAGTCCCTTGTGCCTTCTTGCTGTGTCCCCAGGTTCCCGTTCAGCCGCCCGGAGCTGCTGAAGGAATGGGTGCTGAACATCGGCCGGGGCGACTTTGAGCCCAAGCAGCACACGGTCATCTGCTCCGAGCACTTCCGGCCCGAGTGCTTCAGCGCCTTTGGGAACCGCAAGAACCTGAAGCACAACGCGGTGCCCACAGTGTTCGCCTTCCAGGGCTCCCCGCAGGTGCGTGGCCACCGGGGTCCCCCACCTGGCAGTGGGGTGGGCACCGGTGTCATTTGCGGGGATAGCAGAGGCTGAAAACTGTCAGGCCCCTAGGTCTGAAGCCTAGGGCCCCCTCCTGGCCATGAGCTTTAGGAAATCTGCAATTCAAAGCTGCTTTAAAGACAAGTCACTTCATGATGGGTGCTACGGAAGCAGCTGATGGGGAGGGGGCCGAGAGCTTGCTCCTTTCTGCGCTTCACTTTGTGGGGCCTCACTTGGGCTCGAGGGAGGTGAGGACTTTCCTGTCCAGGGCACAGGAGGACGATGCTGGTGGACTGCTGGAGGGGAACAGGGACAGTGGAGCGAGGCTGGGTGGGGGCAGGATCTGAGCATGCTCGGGAGCAGCAGCAGCTCAGGCCCTGTGGAGGGCGCAGGGCCAGGTGGTGACAGGCTTGGACGGGCGGTGGTTTTCTTCAAAGGGGTGGACGGCTTGACATACAGGGATCTTAGTTTCCCAACCAGGGATTGAACCCTTGCCCCCTGCAGTGGAACTGCAGAGCCCTAACCACTGGACCACCAGGGAAGTCCTGGACAGGAGGTGGATTTTCGGGGGGAGGCCAGTGGGGACTTCGGAAGGTCCCTCTGGAGGCTGGTTCAGAGGCCACTGTGGCATCGCAGGTGAGGGTGGTCATGGTGGCCTGAGCCAAAAGTGGGTGTGATGAGGAGAAGATGGAGCAGGCAACTTTGGAGACCTGTTGGGTTGAGAAGGAGGTGGTCTGGGGGTTAGGGGGAGTCCCTGATTCCCTGAGACGGCCCTGAGCACGTGGAGTTTGGCTTCCTAGTGGGATACCAAGGCAGACATGTCTGGTGGGGCAGGATGTATGGGTTTGGCCCAGGAGGGGATACAACAGGACAGTTGGAGCTGGAGCCCTGAGGCGGTCATAGTGAATTTTACAAGTCCTCACTGTGCCGTGAGTCCCAGAGGGAGGACTGGAGCCGGGCACTGGCTGGAGCCTGGGAGGCAGAGCAGAGGTGGAACAGACGGAAGACCTGCAGGTACCCACACTGGTGTTAAGGAGGGGAGAAGGGAGCCAGTGGGCACCATGAGCTCCCGGCTGTGGGGTGTCAGGCCTCTGCCCTTGATCCTTGTCCGCCTGATCATGCAGCCTAACGAAGTCCAGGTCCCCGCCACCGTGCTTCCCCCCGCTGCTCCTCAGACTCTCTGGCAGCTGTGAGCATCTGCCTAGGGGATGCTCCCTGAGGGTTGGGCTTTGCTCCATGGGTTTTATTCCCATGTCCAGGAACATTGCTTGGCACAAAGTAGGAGCTGTTGGTTCTTTCTTTTAAGTGTGGAAGGCATTTTATTTTATATATATATATATATATATATATATATATATATATATACTTATTTTATCATGGTAAGAACACTCACCCTGAGATCTATTGTTTAACACACATTAAGTGCACAGCACATTATTGTGGGCTATAGGGATGTGGTACTGTGGGGCTCTGGAAATTATAGTTTGCTGACCTGAAACTCCCATCGTGGATCAGGAACCCTCCACCTGCCCTGTTCAGTCAGGGTGACGACTTGCACGGCGTTTGTAGGAAACTGCAGACGATTGTGGTCCTGCCTGAAGTGCTTTTGGTGCCTGGGGGCAGAGTGGGGGCGGGGGGGTAGTTGAAATTGTGGTCCCCATGGCTTCTGATCAGTTCTTTGGAGGCCTGGGTACTATAGGCTCTGAGCTGGGTATTTTCCCTTGAAGAATGCCAGGCCCTAGGGCAGCATGTATCAGTTAGACAGGTCCCTGGCTTCAGTGGGTCTCTGACCCAAGAGTTTGGGCACGGTGGAGAAGGAAGGGCACTGGTGGATGGTGAGAGGAGAGCTGGGCTGGGCTGAGCGTAGGGACAGAGACAGGTGAGGCCTGATGGGCCCTCTGGTGCAGATCTCCTGTGCCCACCTCAGGGCCTGTCCACAGCAGCTCTGTGTCTCTTGCAGCTGGTGAGGGAGAACACGGACCCTACCGGCCGGAGTGGAGACACCACCTCTGGGGAGAGAAAGGTGAGTCTGCCCTGCTGGTCACGAGTGTTCCAACTCAGCTGCTGTGCCTTCCCGCCAGGCTGGCCCACTGGAGCTCATCATACTTTCCTTACAAGCTGGGGTTTGGGTTGTTTTCCTAGAGAAGGAGAAGCCGAAGCCGTCCATGCCTCCTCCTCCCTGTTCAATATCAAGCAGTGGCAGCCGGTTGCAAGTCTGGCTCCTGCTCCGTTTCTAAGGGTTTGGCCCCAGGCCGTGGAGGACGCTGGCTATCCTGTTGGTGCCCTGGCAGCCCCGGTGTGGTGTGAAGGGACTCCTGGCAGGATAAGTAGCAGCTGGGGAGGACCAGTGAGCGGCCGGCTCCACCCTGTCTTTCCAGGTCCTCCCTGAGACGGAGCCTGGGGAGTGTGGCCTGGGGAGGAAGGTGGAAACAACGGTTGAAGCGCTGCAGCTGCCCCCCGAGGTTGGAGGCCCAGGAGCACAGGTGAGGCTGGGCTGGGCATGAAGGCAGTGCGGGACTGGTCTCAGTCTGAGGGGATTTGCTTCAAACAGAATGAAGAAAACTGGTGCCCAAACCAGAGCACCATGACATATAGCCTGGACCTCAGACTACTTGGAACAGCTGCGGCTCGGCAGTTGTGGGTGACAGGGGAGCCCCCTTGGCCTCAGGTGCCTGGCCACTGCTCTGGTCTCTGACTGACCTCTGTCCTCAGGTCCTGCCACACACACCTGAAGCCTCTGGGGTCCCTGGTCAGCCAGCTAGCCCCCCAGAGCTGAAGAGGCGCTTTCCCACACAGCCGTCTGATCATAGCTATGCCCTTTTGGACTTAGACGCCCTTAAAAAAAAACTCTTCCTGACTCTGAATGAGAACGAAAAGCTCCGTAGGCGCCTGAAGGCCCAGAGGCTGGTGATGCGGAGGATGTGCAGCCGTCTGCGGGCCTGCCTTGCGGGGCAGCCGGGACTCCAGGCCAGGCCTCGGCTGGGGCAGCAGAGCTGAGCTGCCCACTGGGCCCTGTTGTCTGAGCCTCTGAGAGGAGGGGCCGTGGTTTCTGGACTCTGGCTGTGGACCTTTTGGTCCCACTTTGACCCTCTGGCCAGCGCCGCCTCAGGTGGAGTGTGGTGGCCCCAGGCGGGGAGGCAGCCGGGGCCCTGAGCAGCACACCTTGGCTCTCCCTTCGGAAGGTGACAGCCCAGCTGCCCCTAGCACAAGCTGGGTGAGTGTCCTTGGAACCACCCTGGGCCAGTGTGGCAGACCATGTCCTTGAGGGCTAGGTGGGCCCCGGTGGGGGTGTGGGGTGCTGGCTGGCCCTAAGGCAGCGAGGTGTCCCCTCCATCACCTGGATGGCTGGCTCCATCCCAGGAGCACCTCTGCGTAGCTGGTGTGAGTGAGCAATGTAATAAAGTGTCTTCCTGCCCCGCGTGCCGCCTCCTTTATTTAAAAGTGAGTGAGCACTGATTTGAGTTCTGAGCCTGGTCACAGCTGAGGAGACTGACTTCCTATTTCCTGCAGAAGGGCTAGCAGGATGTGACCACCTTTGATTACCCAAAAAAGTTGCCTTTAATAAAAAACAAAACAAAAACAACCTAGCCTGTGATTTCAACTCTGGACTCTTAAAATTCTCAGGTAAATGTCTGGCAGAGAAAATACCCCAGCCTCAAATTAGAGGTCTCATGGTTTGAACCCTGAGAACAGAGGGTGGGATGAGGCCTATGAGGCGGCGGCAAGTCCCTCTGCCTGCTGGCTCCTAAAGTGAACACACAGACACATAGACACTGCCCCCGGCTTTCAGGAAAGATTTATTGTGGTAAGAGCGTGTCCTCTGTTCAGTCCCTGTTCAACAACAGGAGGGACGGCCTGCCAGGAGGGGCACAGGCTGTGGCCAAGGTCGGACTCCACTAACTCGACACTTATTGCACGATTTACATTCAGAGCAGCAGCTCCTGCAGGGAACTTTTAAGTGGAGATAAATATTACAGAATTGGACAACCTGAACTATCTTTAAACACTGGAGGAAGGGGGTTGTGAGTGACTTCTCCGGTACCGACATCAGGAGCAAGGCCTGATTGAACAGGAGCCGCACGGAGGCTGCCTGAACCCCCACCAGCCAGGCATCCGCTCCTCCGGTGACTGTTCATCAGCCAGGCTGGGCAGGAGGGGCCTGGTCCTGAAATACTCTGCATCCGCAAAAGAGGCGTGTGAAGGAAGGGGATCCCAGGAGCAGACACCCAAATGGGTACAGGCAGCCCAGAGGAGACGGACTGACCCGGTGTGGGAGCAGCAGTGCCACCGGCTGGCAGCGAGCAGGGAGGAGCCTGCCGGAACCCCCTGAGCCTCTTGGCTCCCACTCTGACCTCTGGGGGCTGCCTGGACTGAGCTGCGTGGGGGAGGGCAGAGGCATTGCGGTTTCCGAGGACACAGGTGGCTCCTGGGACCAGAGTGACATCCTCTGTCCCAAGCCAGGTGCCAGTGGAATGACTTGAGAAGTTCTGGGAGGGGACGAAGGAGACTTAATTCCCAAAGCCACTCGTTCTCAGGTAAAAAGTAGATTTATAAACCCACACCATCCTGTCCAGATTCACGCAGTCACATTTCAGCAGGAAGGTGACTCAACAGGCGCTCACTTGATCCAGAGACTCAGCTCCTGGGAACGCCTTCCCTCCTTCCATTTTGTTTTCTGTGTTCAGTGTGGATTTTAGGAAAGGTAGCTCACGGTCACGGGCATGAGGGTGAGGTATTCATAAATACCTCACGGCAGACAGAGCTACTGGGTGGCTCAGCGGGCACGCAGGCTGAGGGACCCTGAGGCCCCGGGGGCTGGGCCTTCCCTGCGGGGACATGATCCTTGGGAACAGACTCGGGCCCAGCTGTAGTTCCAGTCCTGGTGGGGTTGCCTCAGGGCACCTGTGTGTCCCTTCACATAATTGAGCCGGTACCACTTTCTATGCAAATACAAAATAAACATCTGATTCTGGGTGGTTTTTTTTCCTGCTTCCAAATTTGTTGACTCCTGGGGAAATTCTTTTGCAGCCCCTTTTGAATCTGTGTTCTCAAGTAGTTTATCTATCAGTATCAATTCTGTGAGCTGTAAAAGAAAAGACAAAATCAGTGTGTCTAAAGGCAACTTGTTTCCATGCCTTCTTTCCATGTAGTGGGGATCAACCAGGGCCTGGCCAGAGGCTGCCTGGCCTGCAGCCGGGCAGAGGATGAGCTGCCAAAAATCACCATGTTCTTGAACACAGAGCCGCCGGGTCTGCCTCACCTAGTCACCCCGGCTGCAGTTTCCAAGAGCTCACTAATTCCACCTGGGAAAGGGCTGACCCCTCTCTCAGGGTGTCATTTCCCAGGTCTGTGTAGGTCATGATGCCCAAGCCTATGGCTCCCTGGCCAAGGATGGAAGGAAGGTGGTTGTCGCCCCCCCACCCCCCGCCGCAACTGAGGTCCCTGGGCCCGTCTCTGGGCAACAGGTGACAGCTGGGGGCAGCTACTCACACTGCTTTGGTATCCTGAGTGCCTCGCTGTCGAGCGCCATCACCTGATGTAGGACCCCACGGAACTGGTAAAGCACTTTCAGGTTCTTCTCTTCACCCACACACGGGTCATAGAAGCCGGGCAGCCCAGCCTGCAACAGACAGATTCTCACTGGAGATGGGCGTCTGAAGCCCAGTGGTGCTGCCGTCTATACCTGCCTGGAGGGGCAGCGTGGACACTGCCCACGAAGGATGCAAACCTTGGAGCCTGAGTACAGGAAACAGGATTTTAACAAGTTGCTTACTTAGTCCTAGACTTGCCCCGCTGCCACACTAAAACACCCTCCAGCTTCAAGGAAGCCCTGCCAAAGATGCGAGACCAGGAACCCATTCAGGGACCAGGGCTCTCTGCCTGAGCTCCTCTGTGCTTTAATTCACCTCTGGCACATACCCTGGCTCCCCCCCGAGCCTCCTGTGTGCTACAGGTGGACTCCTCCTTCTGGAACCAGGCAAGGCACAGAGCATGAGCTCCCAAAGGCAGGAGGTATATTCTGTTTGCTGCTGTAACTGGCACACAGTAGGCGCTCAAGAGACAGTTGGCAATGAATGAATGGACAGATGGACGAATGGATGGACCGGTGAATGGCTGGCTGGCTGAAGTCAACCGCTCCAGTGTGGCTGTAACCTGGATCCTGGGCCGCACCCTGCACAGGGGACGGGGCAGCACGACGGGTTCCACTGCAGTGACATGGCCCTCTGGAGGGTCCCTCTTCCTCAGATGCCCCTCCCATCTGCCCGAGCGCCCACCTTGGAGGCCTCAGTGAGGATGAGCTTGGAGTCCTTCACCAGACACTGCAGGGGCACGGTCACATCAATCACCTTCACCTTCTCGCTCTTCTTGCTCTTGTCGTTGACAAATTTCCCGTACCAGGCGTTGACGATAATGAGCCCTGAGAACAGGCCTGGTCAGGGCAGGGCAGCCTTGGTAGGCAACCCCTGTGCAGCCTGGCTGCAGGAGCCATGTGCCCCTGTGAGACCCCAGCACCCACCCCATCCTCAGAGAGGCCAGGCCTGCTCACCCATTCTGGACTCTTCAGCCTCGATTATTCTTCGGACAGATTCCTGCATCAACCGAACCTGCAAAGGACAAGGACGCTACTATCAGGGCCTCCCTAGGCTCCATCAGAGCCAGGGCCATATGCCTGGTGCCTATCGGTCCTGCTTGTCCATTTCTCTGGACATCGCTGCTATCACAGTCCTGGAAAAACAGTATACTCACAGGGAAGAAAGAGGACAACACCCACCACTTTTTAACAAAACCTGGTTATGTCTTTGCAGGGTAATAGGGTCGACTCTTCAGGGCACAGACAGACGCTCCCAGCGCTGCATCCCACAGGCAATAATGTAAAGACTAGATGACTAGGCAGGTTGTCAGGGAAGAAAAGCCCAAGACCCAAGGCCCCTGAGACCACTCTGCAGGGTGTGAAGCATGCCCCCCACAGCCCCGGTCTAAGAAACGTGGACAAGAAAGGATAGGAACAAGCATGCAGTCTGTGCTCTGCACGACGGGCAGGTCCACACTCAGGTCCTCGCAAGGCAGAGGCCTGGGAGGGAGCCGGTGACGCCGCACTCACCGCGGCTTCTGCCTCCTGTTTCTTCTGCAGGATGTCAGTGGCTGTGCTTTCCCTCTGCTTCTCCAGTTCCCTGAGGCGAGGAAAACACAAGCCACGTGTGAGGAACGTGGGGTTACCAGCACGGGAGGCCACAGTGCTCCGGGCTGGACCTGCGCCCTGCAGACAGCCTGTAAGTCTTACTGCGTTCCCAGTTCTAGAACTTTAAACACTATTTCCAAGACAAGTTCAAGCAAATCTGTTTGTCCCAGGCCTGTGCATCTGTCCTGTGGTCCCCAGATGGCTCTCCCCAACCTCAGTGGGAGGACTCCTCGCGGCAGTAATCTCAGGAAATGGGGAGAGGGTGAGAATCTCAGGAGATGCCCCCAACCAGGCATTACCACAGGACACCCTTGGCAGGGACAACACATACTACATGCAATAAAATACATGTATTTCCGTCCCAGGAAAGCATGGGGACCTGGGCAGCACACACATGTCCTGGCAGCCTTGGCCCAGCACATCCTCTGCTCCAAGCCTTCAGTCTGCTGGGGAATTAGGACCCCAAACTTAAATGAATCAGAGGCTGGAGGGGCCCCATAAGCCTTCCTTGGGCTCCTCTCTCCCTGACTCTCTAAGTTCAGTGATCTATTAAATGAGATCATCGTAAAGTAATGAAGTTAAACCTCCTCTTGGGTTTAATGCTGTGCTAATGGATCATCTCTAAGAAACTGCAAAATAAATTCCATCTAGATGACTTCCAAGACTGTAGTTAACATGGGCCTTGTTTGTAGGAACTCAGAGCCTGATCTCTTTGAATTCAGTGCCAGACAAAGAAATGGTTAGAATGAGGAAAAGGAAGACTTCTCATTTCTGTGGTCATGGCTTATAGTCCCAACAATTTGGTAAACTAACTCTTAATTCTTTCTCAAAGTAGGAAATGTGGGTAGACAGAAGTTAACCCAAATGTTGCCAACAGTAGTACTACTACTACTGATAACAACTAGTTAATAATCACTGAGGACTTGATGTGACCAGACACCGCAGTGAGCACTTTACACGTATTAATGCAGGTGGTTCCCCTCACAGCCCTGTGGGGTGGGTGCTACCCTCTCCATGTCACAGATGGGGAAGCTGAGCACAGGGCGGTTGGGCCCCGTACCCGCCAGTGCTGAGAACTCACTTCTCCTTCTGAGCCCTGAGGTAGGGTTTGATGACCAGGCGGTGCAGGGCGAAGTACAGCACGAGCGGCCCCACGGTGGCATAGAACACGGCACTGGGCAGCAGCTGGTCTGTCAGGTGAATGGGGAAGAAGTAGGTCTGACTGGCCCTATTTAACC